GACTGACTGACTGACTGACTGACTGACTGACTGACTGACTGACTGACGCAGCTTTGGTTCCTCACAACATTCCCATATTGCATAATCCTGACAGCTCTTGGCCCTGTGACACAGGCATGTGGCATGGGGCTGTTGGCGGGCAAATTCCCGTGGTGTTTTTTCTTTGAACATGTCCCGCACAGTTCGTTTGGAGCGGGACGCGCACGTTTCGTTTGGAGTCCAAACACTCGTCCAGACCACGTGACCCACACGTCCGAATCTCGAGGCCTGTGGCCGATCCCAAAGTGCGGATGAAGCCTTGGGCTGAGCTTCTGTGTTCGAAAGACCGGCATGTGGGTGTGTATAGGAGACCCCCAACCCATGGGTAGACTGGTCTATTTCCCTTCTTCCAGCAGGTCCTCGGGGGGTCTCCCTATTTAAATGCACACCGCACACCCATGTTGCTGAAAGAGATAAGACATGAACAGACCTTGCGTGTCATTCTGCCAGGCGAAGTTTGCAGCTGTGTGTTTATGCAGAGAGTCAGACCTTTGGTCAGATCATGCAAGCATGAGAAGCCAGAGATCATGTAATCAGAGTGGACGTGGAGCCAGGATTGTGATTCAAGGTCATGTCAAACTGAAGAATAAGGAAACTTCCAAGCAGGGCAGACGGCAGCGTCAATCCCTGTCCCTGCTGCTTGTCAAATAGACAATTTCGTTCATTTGAACTTGGTCGTGGTCCTTGGTTTTGGCAAAGGAAGCTGCGTCGTCGCCGAACTGCTGGAGAAGTAGGACTGTTGACTATTTGTCGTGTTTGCTTAGACACGTTCGTTATATATATAAATAAGAGCAAACTATTTTGTCCTTTTCCTTTTTCGTTGGTTTTAAAAAGAGCGATGGCCTCCACCCCAGTAGCGATGGCCTCCAACCTACTAGTGTCTGACTATATATATATAATATACATGCATATATATATATATATATTGCTTTTCCATCCACTACGGATGCCGCGGACTGCAGACTAGCACTTGGTACAGGCTGCAGGTATGTCTTTATGCACACCGATTGTATAACCCGACACTTGTCGGTTGCCAAACTTCTTCAGCAGGAGACTTGCACAGCGATGATAGTTCCGCAGGTTCTGCAGGTGCTAGACGGCGCAATACAGCGTTCTGAAAACGAAGCATGACTTGAAACAGTGGCATGGTCACAGTGACGACCATGTTGCTTGGCAGCAGCAAATTCTCAGCCTCAGGTCACCAATTGGAAGCCCTAGAATGGACATGCATGGACTGGTCAGAGTATTCAGAGGCATCACTGCACTACTTTCAAGGCCTCATGGTAATAACTGAGGGCAGCCTTTGTCAATTCCTATGATTTTTTGCCCCGCAGTGACAGGCGCGGATGAGACGATTCTAGCACCGGTCTTGAGCTGAGAACGTACTGCCCGGAACTGCTAAGTGATACAACGTCATGAACGACGGAAAAGAGACATCGGTAGCAGTCTGACAGGGTCATTTGGGTCATCTGCTGGTCCAGGTTGACGCACTGGGTGGCTTGGACACATGGCTCTCGGGTACATGGCTTTGAGCTCTTTAATCCGTGGCTGACCAAAAAGGTTGTCCTGGATTCTTTGGTTGGCCCAACTCGACGGAGGCAGCATCTTGCTTGCCACTGTGTGGGAGGTTTTGAAGGTGAAGACTCCTGGGATCAGATGGGTTTTGCAGGAACACTGGAAGGCTGCATGGGCTCAGCACACATCTTACAAGCTCATAGTGTCATAGTGCTTGCCACATCTTCGCCCCTTTTCTCGTCAATTTTTTGGTACCAATTGTAACCTCCAAGGTCGTTGAGTTCTTTGATGCCAGCTTCAGCTGGCAGGAGACGAGCTCGCAGGAGGTCTGGTTACAGTAGTCGTGTGGGGTCTTCGCTTGGTCCACCACCCCCGGTCTGACATTCAGACAAGCTGGCTAGTACCTGCTTCAGAACTTCAGGATGGAAGCGGGGAGTTATCTCATCTCTGACAGAAAGAACAAACATATATACATGCATACATACATATGTATTTTACAACTGTTTGAAGTTTGAAGTTTGAACTAATCATGGAAGTGGTCAATGGCCTGGATGACCATTGTCCTCTGCAAACAGGTGGTTTTCCACTTGCATGTTATATAGTGACTCGGCAAGACAAAACCGAACACCAGTCTTCGCTCTGACAAGCGAGGTGCCATTTGCACCTGTGCCACGAAAGAAGAAGAACAACTACCATCGCTCGCGCGGCGGCCAAGGACACAATCCGTGTCTTCTTCCCCGTCACTGAAGGGTCATGAGGGAATTTCGGACCAAAAGCGAGGCCAGTCAGTGTCCAACCTGGCACCTTTTTGGGAGATTGGTTTCCCTGAATATTCCTGAACATGCTGGTGAAGACATTGGACTGAAAACGCGACCGACAGAGCTGGGGTCCAGTTTGGGAATGGAGATATTGGGACTCACATGCCATCTTCCAACCCATCATTGGCCAAATGAGGTGAATTCTCGGGCTGTTGCAGTTGCCAAGGATCTCTTTGCCTATAGCTCTGCCCGTGGGCATGCAGGTGCTGTTCGGAACCCGGCCAATTAGCGTGGATTCTGGCGATTTCTGTCACACATCCTTAATACAGCTGTTCTTACAAATATCTAGTCTTTAGTGTCAAATGTGACCTTCCCAAATGACCATCCTTGATTCAAGATTGAGCACCCGATTCTTTCTGCATCAGCTGTGAGGCCGGAGCTGTCGACTTCCACTCCACCGACACCCGTGAATTCTATCGCCTGCAGCCTAGAGCAGACTTTCACGATATTTCACGATATCCCTGAGCTACCATGGCCAATACAATAGATATAATCGGCTCGATTGGAATGACATCCTATGCCATGCAGGCATATTTTAAACAGTATTCAGTATAGACACAGCAGGCCCTTACACAAGTTTGGTATTGTTGGTTCTTGGATGTTCTTGGCATGCACTGCATTTGGGTGTTGCGCTCAGTCACGTCTACGGGGTGCAGTTCAGGCCTGATTCGGGGTCAGGTCGTCACAAGCAAAACGATGGTCGTCACAGAAAGGCAACCGATGATCGATGACGATGCCGGGTATTTTGTTGACCAAGAAGAAAAAAGCAGGAGGGTGTTGTCTCAATTCCAGCAGATGCGACATGGAGGCTCAAGAAGTTGATTCAGTTCTTCGCTGCAGCTTGTCTTGTCTGTGGGCCCGTGGGCGAGGATGCAGAGACAAAGCTGCAGCTTGCTGCGGTTTGCATCAAAAGATATCAAAAGAGTTGTTGGTTTCGTTTGCAAATGCAAACAGTTTTGCTATCGTAAGAAGGCCTTTCTCGAACATGTTCGAGAGGTATGGAGACACGGCGACCCATAGTGCCCCTCTTCGGCGACTCGTCGATCCCCAAAGAGGAAAACCAATGGAGGGAGATGATGTCCTCTGATGAGATGTTTTAACTTCATTTTTTGCAGCTTGTTCATGGTATACGTGCTGCCTGGCGTGCTCTTCATCGTTCTCGCACCGTTTGTAGAGACAAGAGTGCGTGCCCTTCAGCTGCAGCTGCAGAGAACACCGTTGGGCGTTGAGGTCTCAACCTCACCCTTCGACCGGGGCAGCTTATGGCGGTCCTGGGCGGTGCAGGCGGACTTGTGGAGGGGCTCGGGTGCTACACCCGAGCGAGTCCCCGAGTGGTTTCATGGTTGAATCATGGTTTCATCCTGTGTTCAATCTACCTGACCTCTTTTGAGACTCTAGTGTTTGATCGCGCGGGTGACCATGGTTTCTTTTGGAGCACATTCCCTTTCAAAAAACCAGCCACCCTCATTCCGACTCATTCCCTACTACAAAGTCAGCACAAGTCAGCAATCAATGCAAGGAAACTGATTTTACGATGTTTTCCGCTTTCTTGGGGGTTGTCCATCCGGTGACACGGCCTGAGGCCGGTTGGTCGGTCGGTCCGAGATTCTTATCTGAGATGTGCTTGGATTGCTGCAAAACCGACCATTGATTTGTTTGGAACCAGTCCAAGAATATTCACGACTGAGACAAACAGTCATAGAGCATCCAAATCCAATCCATGCATGTGTGTTTCATGTGGGTTGCCAGATGTTGTCGGTTCAATTGGGACCGGTTCACAACGTATCACCCCAAAGTGACATTTCTGTACGCACCCAATTGATCCACACCTTATGGAGAACAAAGGATACCATCGGGGATGATCCCAAGCATCCACTCTATTCGATGCGCGGCGATCATTTCATCAAGGGGCTTTTTCAGGACAAGCAACCTGGCACCAATGGATAGCCAATGCCAATGGATGTAGATGGGAAATCCAACTGATAGAGAGAGAGAGAGAGCCCCCCTCCAACCTAGAAGCAATGGCACCTAAGAGAGAGAGGGAGAGCACCGTCCGTGGGATTTTTCTCCCACTCAGAGTCGACCAGGCTCTGGAAAGACCACCCTTCTGTGGGCCCTGCTGGGTGAAGTGCCCTGTATCTCAGGGCGGAGCTTTGTCCCAGGACCTGGGGGACCTGGGGAATCGCAGTGAACCAAAGGGAAAGCGCTAAGATGTTCAAACATGAAGACATGAAAATGAGACACACACACACACACGTGTTCTTTGTTGGCCGAGCAGTTTGCTACACCCGAGGTTTGACTCCTACCAGTTACACAGCCTTTGTCAGCAAAAACCATGCTCGCTCTTGGAAAACATAAAAGAATGATAGCCATGTCAATGGCCTGTTATCAGAGTTCATTAATGAAATGCAATTATCAGCCAAAAAGCAAGGACACTCGTTCGTTCTGACGAGCATCATTGCAGAAAAGCTTCGTTCGTTCTGACGGTTTCTTGATTTTGGATGAGCCGCGAGACCGAGATAAAGGCGTTCAAGACCCTGCAGACGTGCTCACTTTGGGCCATCAGAAGTTACACTCCTTTGGTGGTATCTCAAAGCACCGACGAATCCTTTTGCGCGCCAGGAGAAGCCAAGAAAAAGGGTGGCCGAGTCGCCTACTGTGGGCAGCAGTGGGGGTCTTGACGAAGCCCGCATTTGTGAGCCCTTGACAGCCACAGCTGAACCTGAAACTCGGTCTCTTCATGCCTTTTCTTTACGATCTTGGCTGCCTACGCAGGGCTGACATGGTCTGACCTTGAGATCTTCGTGGGTTGGGTGTGGGTCAAGAATGTGAGGCCTCATCTCATCCGTGGCTCAGTCCGTGAGAATATCCTCTTTGGCAGGCGAGTGCAAGCACAGCCGAACTCAGATCAGAAAGCATTTTTTAGTTCGGGTTTTCTGACCCAAAACCATTTGCCAAAGGATGCTAAACTGAAAAAGCAGCGACATGGAGCAGGTAGAGAAGCCTCACTCCTCGAACGGGCGGTGGATTCTCATTTCTGTGGTATCCTCGACATGCCCATCAATTCGCTTGAAGGAGTATATGGTTTTGTCAAGGAAGTGTGGCTGTCTAAGAGCCTAAGAGTGCCTGCCCGCCTGCATACGAAACGAAGAAGCATGGTAGGGCACTCAGCACCAATTCCACACCAATTGCCCGAAAACCCCTCCTGGCTTTCGGTTTCCCTGTCAGGCCATATGTTCATCAAAGCTACATCTCGGCCGTGCGCTCGTGTGGTCTGGCAGACTTGGAAGAGGTGCGCATTCTCCGAAAACCAAAAAGACACATTGGCGAGAACAGTGCTTCTCATGTCAAGGTCAGATGTTCCTAGTAGATACCATGGGATGGCTTTGGAAGCGAGACAAAGATCCACGGTAGTTGAGCATGCAAAAGAAACAGTCTTTTGACTTTTTGGAGGTTGTTTCTGGGTGATCCACCTCCCAGATCTTGCAGCTTGACCCTCGACCGCAGCCCGTTGCTCATGTCCAGGCCGAAGAAGCCAGAGCCCCTCAGGTTCCACGCTTGTCAGGTGGATTTGGCAGGGGAGTCTGACGCACGGGGATCCGATCCGATCGGCGCTTTTGGGGCGTGTTTGGTTGAGTGGTTGAAAGGAAGGTTACTTAAAGTAAGATGCGAATGCGGTGCAATGTTTTTTACTCCAGGACGGGATTCATCATATCATAGCATATTAATATTTTAAGGCTTACGCCTGACAGCCGGGCGCCGGCCCAACACAGGGCAAAAGTAGGACGGTAGACTGTCTTTGTTTCTTTCTTGCTTTCTATCTATCTATCTATCTTTCTGTCTGTCTGTCTGTTTGTCTATCTTTCTGTCTCTGTCTCTCTCTCTCTCTCTGTCTGTCTGTCTGTCTGTCTATCTATCTTTCTGTCTCTCTCTCTCTCTCTGTCTGTCTGTGTCTGTCTGTGTCTGTCTGTGTCTGTCTGTGTCTGTCTGTGTCTGTCTGTGTCTGTCTGTGTCTGTCTCTGTCTCTGTCTCTGTCTCTGTCTGTCTGTCTGTCTGCCTCTCTCTCTCTCTCTGTCCGTCTCTCTCTCTGTCTCTGTCTCTGTCTCTACTGAGGCCTTGAACAGCTGCAGTCCCTTGCCCACGCCACACAAGGCCCAATGTCAGGCAAACGACTGCCCGTGGCAGCGGCGTGGCCACAGGTGCGGGTGCAGGCGCAATGTTGCTGCTGAGGGTTTCAGGGTGAGCAAACGACACCATGAAAGGGCGCGCAACGGCGGTCGGAAAGGGTGCCAGACGGCAGCGGCCACTCTCCAACGTCGCTTTTGGAACCCTTTAAAGGAGGCGCGGACCGCATGGTAGCAGCCTAGGTGATGGCCACGGACCTGTCCAGCAGTAGCTGTAAGGGCTGGTCACGGCCACAAGCTGATCCAGCTGCCTCGCATAAAGGGCCCGTGTCGCTGCGCAGGGTTTCAGGGCGGGCCAACGACACCATCTATTTCTGCGCACAAAAGCGTGCCCGACGGCAGAGCTGACCCACTGAGGCCATGAACAGCTGCAGTTCTTTGCTCGGGCAAACGACAGCCCTAGCAGCAGCGCGGCTATAGGCGCGGGTGCAGGCGCAATGTTGCTGCGGAGGGTTTCAGGGCGGGTAAACAACGCCATCTATTTTTGCGTGTTGACTGATGCCACCTTCGCCAATCAGCCGATTCCATTCACTGCTTCACCAAGGACCACTGCCATGGTTGCCACTGACGAGATGGAGCACTATGCAGCTTTAGTCAGGCATCAAGGCCATCAGGTCCGTTTGTCCGCCCCGCAACGGCCAGGGCAGACGGCAGCGGCCACTCTCTAACGTCGCTTTTAAACCCTATGGAAAAAGAGGTGCGGAGCCGCATAGCAGCAGCCGCGGTGATGGCCACAGACAAGTCCTGCTGCCCTGTAGAAAGCGGTGTCGCCACAGCCTTCCCCCATCTAAGTCTGCGCGCAAACGGGTCCCAGACAGCAGCAGACTGTCTAACGTCGCTTTGCGGAGCCAGTTGCGGAGCCGCGTAGCAGCAGCCGAGGTGATGGCCGCAGACAAGTCCTGGAGCAACTGGCCGAAAGCAAGTTGAGCCACCGTTTCACCCTGCGGTGTCCCAGGCGCCGCCGCCCCGCCTATAGGCGTCAGCTAGGCAGGGGTCGGCGGATTATTATTAATGTGGCTACCAAGGAACTTGATGAAAGGAAACCCGTTTTCTGCACGATGAGGTCCCAAGGTCCCATTTGATCAAGACAAAGTGACAACGCCTTCCCAACATAGAAACTGTTTGCTATCAGGGTGACATTCTACGATAAGACAATTAATTATGTGCTTAGACATCCATCAAGACCCTCCGGTCTTTGACATTCTCACAACTCACTCGCTTGTGGACCTTTTGCATTGCACATTCAGTGCTCCAAGACCCCCTGGTCCACAGGGTAAAAGAAATTTTAGAAGCAGGATGAAATAGGATGAGCTGGCTGCCAGGCTGGCTTTGGTGCAGAGCACTTGTTTTTGGAAGGAAGGACGAATTGAGAGCGGCTTATTGAGTTCAACGTAATAGCCCACAAAACAGATCGAAGGCTGGAACAAGGAATACTCCGTACTATGGTAGTCATATGTAGTCTAGTCATCACTCATGACCAAGTGAATTGTTTTTCTCATGGTGCGTAAACATAAATTCAACAGGAACAAAACAGGTGAGTGTTTGCTTCGTTGAAAGAGTGCATTTTCTGCAATCTACTCTAACCCAACCGCTGGGAGGATGTAGGTGACTGATGGTTCATGCTGGAGAAAATATGTTGTACGAACCGCAGAGTCTTTTTCGATCCTGAACAAGGGAACAGTTCAGGAGGTTCGTACTATCTGGAGGTGTTTGATGGGCTGGGATGGATGACAGTTCTTGTTCCTTTGCACCCTTAAAATTTGTGTATCATCAGCAAAACCACAAGCCCGCTTGCTGATTACTGCTCTTAACAGTCAACGACTTTCAAACATGATCCAACAAAGGTTGCTAGACTGGCGCTGTTCTTGCATCGATGCCCGTGCGCAGGTGGTCAGCGCGTTCGCGTGGGTATTGCGCGGGCCATCTACGGGCATCCTGACCTTTGCCTCTTGGTGCGTCTGGCGATTTGAAAGATGTCTTGAACACACTTGCAAGACGAGGGTTGGGCTCAACCAAATGATTACAATTGCACATGAAGGAAGATTTATATGCGATCAGCATGGTCCCTTTCCTGTATGAATGTAGATGCCAGCCCTGTGTCGTTCAAGGACACACTGTACGCTCTCCAAGACACCCTATGTTTGTTGAAGAACCATACAAACCTGGCATGTTCAAACAAGGACAGCAGATATGTCCCAAGCTGCGTCCACTTCTGTCAACCAGTCCACTCGGATGAACTTCACTTTCGGATCTTTCCAGGATGCTCCTTTCGCAAGCTTGGATCCTGCCACCTGTGCCACGGCCGGACGAGATCATCCGAGATCATCCGTTCCGATCCGTCTCCTATAGCTTTCACAGTTGTGGAAGTGCATGAAACGAAGTATGATATGATAAGTATAAGATAAGCATGATAAGAAACTGTGAAGCCAATGCTCAAGATTTGTTTCAGGCCATGTTTTTTGAGAGGGGAGTTATGTTTTTGTTTTGGTTGATGATTGTGTTTGATTGCCTACAGATTGCCTGCAGATGAGGTTCTCTGCTTTGGCACGCAGCCATCAGAGGAGCTTTTCGTCAAACGTAGCCATCAGAGGGCGGTCAAAAGACCGGATCCAAAGCACAGTGGGGGTGACTCAAGGGGAAAAGCATGGAAAAGGTTGGACAAGTGGATATCGAAGTGTATTGGATGAACTGCATGAGATGTGTGGAAGCTGCAGAAACATGCAGGAACTTCATACCTGGAGTTAAGCAGCTGCTTGGTTCTTGACCAGATCTGGTAGACAAATGGTTATGAACGGACCAGATTTGCACATGGAGTACAATGCTTTGTGAGTGACTTCACTAAGAAGGACAACCCAAAAAAGGGGTTCCAGTGGGAACTTTCATCCCAAAACTGATGGAGAAAGGCCGGATTCTAAAGGTTTGTATGCAAGGACCCAGCTGTAGAGGACACTGGTCAAAAGTTCTTCGATCCATTTTACATGTTTTGGCTGGTGATCATAGAAATAGATATGCTCGTTGCCTAGATATGTTTGATATGATGTATAGTTGGGTTTTGGATCGTCTAGACCTGTTCCATTTTGTTCCGTGTTCCTCTTTTGGCTCGCAGGAGTGCTGAAGCAAAGCGCGGTGGTGTTTACCACTACTTCAGCTCAGTTGGCCAAAGCCGGGGCCTGTCAAAGTGGGATGAAGGGAAGACCCCAATCAAAAAGGCACACCTGGAGTTCTTGGTCTGAACCCCTCCTATTTGATGCGATTTGATGCTCAAACCTGTTGCAAACTCTTTCATGCTCTTCCTACATACAGGGATGTATGAAATTGTCTCTTCTGCACATCTCGCCCAGTATCTTGCCTTTTTCAGGGTTTGTAGCTTCAACTCGCTTGAGGGTTTTCCGCGAACGCACCGCCGTGAGGCTGCCGACGTAGTCCTAATGCTGGAGGAGCCTGGGCGCATTTTGGTGGTGGAAGGATATTGTAATCAATATATATATATATATAGATATATATTTACTGTATATACACTATACACATATTCACATGTATTGTATACACACAATTATATACACGTAACGTATTTATTGTATATATAGTTATACACATGAATAGACATCCCTCAGAACCTGAGGACAGTTTGCTCCAAACCTCAAGTTGTGGCTTCCGGATCCAAACATTGTCTTTTGTATAATATACTGTATATCATGTTTTTCTCCTTTGGATTAAGTGTACTCTGTAGGCTCGATTTTTGTAAGGGAATCACCTCTGGAGATTGCATACAATTATGATTGATGCAACAATCCGAAGTCGAAAGTCAAGACGAGGTGAGCTTGAAATACTTAGACCAAAATTATTGATTTCTAACAGAGACGGAACTCCACCAGCTAGGTATGATGTCGCTGTATGTTTGCGAAACATGTTATGTTTAGCTTGGGTGAAGCATTGGCGTCTTGATGAGAGCATCACCTTCTGCCGCTGGATCAAACAGGCACAAATTACATAAACATAGGGTATTGAACTATGAACTATGAATATGTTTTGGAACGCACAATCGTATTGTCAGACCCTAAACCGGGCACGAACTCGGTACTCTGGTGGCTAGAGCCACGTTGGTGGAAGCAACATCAGTCCTTGCGTTCATCCAACTCCCTCCCAAACACTGGAGCTCTTCTTTTCGCGCTTTCAACCTGCCCCAGTTAGACATCAAGATAAATCTAATATATGGCGGAAAACACATCTTCAGGTGCGTGGAAGTCAGTATAGAACAAATTCAAAGGTATGGAGGAAACCATCCCACGTCGGAAGCGCCGTTGGCACGAGTTTGAGTGCAGTTGGTGCTTTTCGAGCGCTCCTTCGGAAAGCTGCTTGACCCAGAGTTTCCCAGCCACGGCTTCGCTTCATCGTACAAACCACGTACGTCCTTGGATAGACTCGCTGTCGCTCCCTCGCGCCATGGACTCACCCTCCCTGTCACGGAGCTCCCACAATGACCGCTTGCCCGCGGGCTCGCCGGCCTTCGTGCCCCGCAACAGGCCTTCGGTCCGCCGACGGGAGCGAACAGGGGCTTCGTTCCGGTGGGTGGTTCGTTGTTTTGCATATTTCTTACGACACCCAATATATACTATATACTCTATATTACTCAAAAAACAAGAACTATTTACTAAGTGATTGGAACATGTTACATGTGCACAGGAGCAAGGAGTGATAGCAGGTTTGTAAACAAACTGAGATGGAGTGTTACTAAGATGCAGACAAACAAGATGACACTCTAACCATCAACTTTCGGGCTCTTTGGCGCTCTTGGGTCATGCAGCTCGCTTCTTGCAACACACGCTGTTTGATTTCGACACACAGTCCAGCAAGCAACCAGAAGAACACCCGGATTGATCCTGAAACAACATCCTGGAAGGAAAAATCAATTCTTCAACATAAAACTTCGGGTTTCTGCCCGTGGAAGACCACTAGGACTCCTCTGCGCCATAACTCTGGAGGAATGCTTTCATTTTCGAACCAACCAACCGATGTTTACCAGATCGCACAAAAATAACAGCAACCAACACTAAAAACAGAAACCAAACCACCAAAAAGAACCCACGTCGACGCGCGCATGGTGTTTCGTCGCCCTCCGGAAGGCGCTTGCTCGTCTCCAAGGGCACTCGGACCGCGAGCAGCGAGTCGGAGGGCGGGTCCAACCGCTGCGCCCAGTGTAGGCACTTGCGGCTGGGACCGTTATGGCCGCGAGTCCAAGCGCTCACGGGAGCACACCTCCAGAGTGTGTTGTTTTTCAAGTCGAGTCCATTTGCGGTTTTTTGAAAGGAAAGACCAAGGAGTCAACGAAGGTCAACGCTCCCCAACAGCAGAGATTGGGAGGGGTGTTGGTCTATTTGACCAGAAATTGATATATATATATATATAACATATTTGTCTTTGTCTACCACACGATCACACGCTTTTAGTTGGCTTATTGAGGATCACAACCATTAAGTGAGGTTTGAAGATCCGTTGGTAAGTCTTTGGGGCAAACTGTTTGCATCAGGAGGGTTCTGGAGAAATTCTATCATCCGATACTTTATAATATCATCCGATATATCAAGGTCCAGTGCTCCCGCACACCTTCCGCGTGAAGACATTCCTGCAACTCTGCTTGAGACGACAATACCTCGGCCCACATGCTAAGGGGTAGCCAAGGGTCAATGTGTTTCAAGCCTAACATGCTTGGAACATCTTGGAATGGTACCCTCTACAGAGTCTCCATGCTTCTTCGGAAGTCAGTTGTTTGATCCATAAAGCCACCAAACTCCATGTTCGGAGGGATTCCCCCCGTGAGTCATTTAAAAAAATGAGTTGCAGTGGCACGTCGTCATCGTTTCTACCTTCTTTCACAATGAGGTGTCTTGGATCATTTTGGACAAACACCAGCTGGGTGGTTGCTTTTCCATTAGCTCTCTGGATTGGCTCACCTTTGGAGCCCCAAATCAACCCAGGCTGATGGACTCCCTCCTCTTCTGCCGCAACTGCGGGCAACGACGTAGCTCACCGGAAAGCCTGGCCAATGCCTTCGGCGGCATCCGCGATGCCTTGGCCAATGGTCGTGAGAGCCGTGGTGAGGGTGGCGTGAAGGACCGTGAGGAGCAGGATGGTAGGCCTCAAGTGGTCTTACACTCGCTGGAAGCTGTGGCCAGTGTATTGCAAGATATGTTGCAATTGAAGTATGGCCTTGTCCTGGATGAGTCAGACCTGCTTGGAAAGCTTAGGCATTGAAGTCGGGAAAAATGTGTAAGTATCTTCAAAGACTACAGTGAGATTGATTGGGAGATTGCGAAACATGGCCAACAACCAGTTGTTCAGCACAGCTGTACTTGGTCAGCTGTGCCACCAAAACCCTGTGCCATTCACCCTGTGAGGCACCATTGCAATGGTTCAACTCCTGAGGAAGTGGTGAAATTGTTCAACTCACAGCGAGATCTTCACTTCCGCACTCCGGGATGCCAGCGGCTCGTGTGTCTCCGCATCGACTGGAAGCCGGTGGCGAGCTTCGACGCGCTACAAGCCAAGGTGCGAAAAATGCCAGGAACTGGCTGTGCGGTGGCAGTCCTCTCGCTCGGCGATCATCCAAGCTCTGAGGTACCCAGTGCTGCTGCCATTTTTCGAGAGTCTTACAGCAGCTGAGAGTGGACATCTCTTTGGAACAGCTTGGTATTTACATTTTTTGAAAGTAATGTTTCCTTCAATGAGCCTGTGTCCTATTTTTTAAAGGTCACGCTGAAGAATCCATGCTGTAGCTGGACACACTGTGGGTTCTTACGGTAACTGTTAAGGACGGGTGTCTGATCGGAGGTGCTCATCGGCGTGTCTGGCTAATTCGCTGCTATTTACAATACATTCATTCACCTCGAGATCTTCGAAGTGCATTTCGACTGCGCAGGCTCGCAGAATCTGCTGGGCCCGAGCTGGTGCTCTTCGAGACTGCACTCTTGTTGTGGTGCCGTGCACATTTTTCGGACTTGGTGGAGTCGTGCCCTCCCCCCTGTCAAGTGCGCTCTCATGTGTGTGCTCGGACATCTCGCTCCACCTCTAGTCTAGACCTCTAGAGCTCGGGACCTAGACCTTCAATTCTAAGCAACCTCCATCACCACCACCGCCACCACCACCAACAACATCGCCACCACCATCATCACATCACCAGCATCACCATCACCATCACCATCAACACCTTCAACGCCACCTTCATCACCACCGCCATCATCATCACAACGATCACCACCACCACCACCACCACCACCACCACCACCACCACCACCACGATCACCACCACCACCACGATCACCACCAC